TTTTGGTCCTAGCCATACTACCAGATAAGACGTGGTATGTCAGAGTGGTTGTGATGTGCATCTCTCTGGTGACGGATGACATTGAGCACCCTTTTCATTTGCTTATTGCCTGTATGTACGTGCTCTTTGGAGAAATGTCTTTCCAGATCCTCTGTCCTTTTTTAAGTGGGTTGGTTTCTTTTTATTATTGAGTTGTGTTCTTTATATGATCTGGATGAAAGTGCCTTATCAGATAATTCTCTTCTGTTTTGTTACCTTTTCAGCTTCTTGATAATGTTCTTTAAAGCATGAAAGTTGCCAATTTTGATGAAATCCTAAGTTTACCTATTCTCCCTTTGGCCCCTTGGGCTTTTGGCGATTCCCCCCAGAAAACCTAATTATGTAAATATCTCAAACATTTACTTAATTGCAAAGTTATAGGTATCCTCAGAGCAGTCTCATCTGCATCCCTGTATCATTTATTTTAAAATCCACCCTTTGCTCCTGATTTCATTTCCCCAGAGCTTTAGCATTAAAATGCGGTACTTAGACTTTCCATATGTACTTAGACTTTCTATTTCTGGACTCCTCTTGTTTCATAGGACCATCTGTCTATTATTATGAAAATGCAATCCCTCTTTTAATTATAGATTTTGTTGTTGTTGTGAAGTGCCATCCATTCTGACTGTAGAGGGTTTCCAGCTCTAGAATATCTTTAAACAAAAACAGTGCTCCTCATTGCTCTTCTTCTTGAGTGGTTTTCCCAGGTCTTATTTTGTCCATAAAAACTTTAGAACAAGCTTGTCTAGCTCCAAAAACGATACTTGTTGATTTTTTTAAAAAATTGAGACAGTATGAAACTTAAGTTGGAGAAAGTCTCCACTGTCTGAAGTGGAGCCATCCACACACAAGCAGGTATGGTCCTTAGTCCCATGAAGGTGGCTGCCCGTCTGTCGTTCAGCACCCTTGTTGTTGTTGTGAAGTGCCGCTGAGTCGGTTCTGACCCACAGTGACCCTTTATAGGGTTTCCGAGGAGCAGCTGGTGAGCTTGAACCGCCAACCTTGCAGTTTAAACGGCTTTGCAGTCTGGCGCATTAACCCACAGCGCCACACCAGGACACCTCAGCACCCTTAGGGGCTTGTTGGAAATATAGCTTTTGTACATTTCATGTTAAATTTAGTCCTTAGCTAATTTTTTTTTTCTTTCTGTTAGTGAGTTCTTCTCTGTAACTATGCCTTCTAGCTGGATGTCATTAACTGTAATTTTTGTTTATGTTTTGGCACTAAAAAAATAGTATTTTTAATGAATATCCTTACTGTGTGTCCACTGTAGCATTTATTCTATTGGAATTCTAAAGGTGTACTTTCATATCATCTACAAAAAGAGATTGTTTTCTTTCTTCAAGTATGAACATTATTTTTTTAAAAAGTCATGTATTTTTGTTTTATTAATCATAGTTTGTTTTAAAGCAGTTTTATGTACAGAAAGTATAGTAATACTCCTTTTCCCCTTGTTTACTGATATTATTAATATTTCATCTCATCTATTACTAATATTTCATCTCATCTATTACTAACATAAGGAGCTCTGGTAGTTTAGTGGTTACGAATCAAGCTGCGAACCACAAGGTCAGCAGTTCGAAACTAACAGCTGCTCCACGGAAGAAAGATGAGGCCTTCTGCTCCCGTAAAGATTTATAGCCTCGGAAACTCTGTTCAGGGTCGCTATGGGTTGGAACCGACTCAACGGCATTTAACAACAACAACAACATTACTAACATCTTGCAGTCTGTTGTAGTTTGTTACAACTGATAAACCAATATTGATACATTATTATTTGCTGAAGTCCATGGTTTTGGAATCATATAGTTCGTAGCCTTTTAGGACTGTCTTCATTCACGTAGAAAGTTCTTCCATGTGAGTATGAACATTTTTAAAGATGTGTATTATGTGTAGCCAAATTGCTTCTTTTTAAAAATATGGAACCAATTTATATCCCTCCTGGCAGCATTTCACCAGACCCTTGCCAGCACCAAGTATTAATACTTTTTAAAGTCTTTGCCAATTTCATATCCTCTTCACTGGCTGAGAGGGCGTTTCCTACCCGCCCTCTAGGGTCCATATTCTAGTACACTACTAGGTTCCTGATGGCACTTAACAACAACTAGGTTCCTGAAGGTTTATGGTGAAGACCCTGTTATCTGTGAGTCCAGGAGGCCTCTGGGAAATCACTGAGCCAGGGCAGTACCCACAGTTGGAAGTGGCTGACATTCTCCAGAACAGGGGTGCTGATGGCTGAGACACCTCTCCTTTCAGCTCATTTACTAACCAATAAAATGGGTCATGGCTCCCAGAGGTTCCTACTCCCCAGGAAGCCTCCCCACATCCTCCTTGTGAACAACCCCATTGGCACTGCCCAGCTGGGAGCCCCTGGAAGTCTAAGAAGCCAGCCTACAGGTTCAGGCCCATTCTCCTCCCTCCTGACCTGGTAGGCACTCCAGCCATGGCCCCTCCACCTGCCCACAGGCCTTTCCCACCTCTGTCCCCTCCTCTGTGCAGGTCATGGTGTGGTGGAAATGGGGGTCCTAGTGCTGACTCTACACAGTGCATTAGCACTGGGAAAGGGGCCCCATAAATGTATGGAAATTGAGTGGGGTGTGTGTGTGTGTGAATTCCACTACGACCCAACTAACTGAGTTGGGCCATCAGACCCAGACCATCTGGTCCAAACAGAAAAACAAATCTGCTGTTGTCCCGTCCGTCAACTCTGCCTCCCAGTGACCTTGTCCCCGAGTAGAACCTCAGGTTCCACAGGGTCTTCTTGGCTGCAATCAACGGAAGCACACCGTCAGGTCTGTCTCCCGTGAGACACACTGGGTAGGTTCAGTCCACCAACCTCTGGCCTAGTAGCCAATTGCAGATTACATATGCAGGCTGTCGTCCCCCTGAACCTGACAGCAGGCCCTGCTGTCTCAGAACAGGTTCCCTCACTCCCTTCACCACCCCTGGGGGAGCATCTGGATATGTGTTTGGGATCCTATCCTAATCTCTTAGATGCAGATCTGTGGATATGGGGGAGAGTGTGAGGGACACCATCTCCTTTAGGCCCAGGCAGCTGGGTCCCCAGGAGACAAAATCTCCTTCTATCTGTATTTATTTTCCTCGTCCTTGAGTTTGAAAGCCAAGCCGGTGTTGATATTTACCTTGGCTGGGCCACCCCACCTCCCTGCCAGTCTCGTGTAAACACGCTGTTCTTTCCCTCCACGCTGCTAGCGTCTTAGGTGGCCTTTTGCAACCAATTCTAGGAATTTTGAAAATCTGAAGTCCTATGTTCAGGGACTGGCTCTCTAGAGAGCTGAGAGTGCAAAGCATCGTGGGACCAGCCCATCAGGCAGATTCCATGGTGATAAAGGTGGTGGGCAGAGCCTGAGGGAGGTGTTGAGGGGGAAGGGGCTCAGACAGAGGAAGGGACAGACTGTCCCACTGACCCTGCCTGGGCACTATGGTGGGTAGGGAGAGGCTTACTTTGGGGAACCTCAGGAATGGCGTCTTTAGTTGGTTGGCAACATGAGTGATGGTGGACAGCTTCCGGGAGGTCACAAGTGTCCTGTTGTGGGATGTGTGTAGGGCAGCAGGCTGAGGTTCCACTCAGCATCCTGTGTGAGATGAATGACTCAGAGTACGAGCGAGGAAAATGTTCAAACCCTGCTCCGGTGACTTAAACTTGCTGCAGTTTGGTTTCACTTTACCAGAATGGGGGGCGCCTGTCCATCACCAGGCAGTATTCAGGCAGGTGAGGCCAATGTGAAGGCCTAGGTGGCTCACCCCACAAGGGAGTCTCTTCTGATCATCAGTGGTGACAGGCACCAGAACCACTCTGACCGTGTCCCTTTCTCTATGCAGATCTGGGACATGAGTGACGATGAGACCGTCTGATGGCCGCTGTGTCTCCTGACTCCGTCCGCTCTGGCCCTCCAGCCTTGCCTCCTCCCCACCTCTAATGTCCCCCACCCACTCGAGCTAAATAACAACCTCAGCGGTAGCACTGCCGCACCCCAAGAATCGCCTTCTCCCACAAGCGCCATTTTTCTTGGTTGTGGCAAGCTTCCTGGGGCCTTGTGGCTGTGGCCACATGGGGTGGATGTGGAGGGGCCAGCAGAAAGCATCTCCTTCCAGGGCACTGGGGAGACTGGGCTGGTGAGCTCTCCCTATCAGTTTGGCCCTGGGGGAGAGGCAGACAGCCAAGCTTCACACAAAGGGTCCTCGCTCTTCTCCCAAAGCCCACATCTCCATCTACCTGGCCCCTCCCAGTCCCCTCTGCTCTCCTGGGGTGGGGGGAGGGCAGTTTCTAATCTGGAGGAGCCGGGGAGCAGTTGTCTGGGCAGCTCCTGACAGCGGGCCCCAGATGTGGCCCAGAGGGCCTCCTCACCCAGAGTCCTCCACAGTGGTGACTTGGAGGGTCTGCACTTGTTCTGTGACAGGGTGTGGGCGGGTCTTTCAGGGACTTCTCCCATTTGCCCTGGGTTGCACTCAGTGGGAATGCGGCCTCCCAGCCCCTGGGCCAGCACAGGCCTCCAGGGCCCTGTCCACCATCTGTCTGCTACTCAGGGCTTCACTGTTGTTTCAGACCAGGAGCCAAAGTCAAAAATAGTAGGATTTCTGCCAGTTAGATTAAAAAAAAGATGCTTCCCTTAAAACAGGAAGTCAAAGTAAACGATAGTTTTCCAGTTATGAGAGCTTTGATAGGGCACCACCATGGTGCTTAGCCGCCCCACCCCCACCGCAGGGATTGAAGACTGCACACCGGACTGTGGTTTAAGAGCACTTTATTATTATTGTTCTTAAGGCTACTTTTAAGTACAAAAAAAAGATGGCCTGCCAAACCTTTTTTTTTAAATTCTTCTTCCAGGAAAAACAGGCCACAGAGAATGTATATTACAGATTTACAAACGCAGCGGGACCGGCCGGACGCTTGGCAGATCGTGGCCTCTGCGGCCGGCTGCCACGTTTGCTCTCGGCAGGCAGCGGATTACCTGCTCCCCTCCAGGGCCCTGCCTATCCCAGCTAGGTCAGCACCCAGCCGCAGTGCCCCCGCCGAGTGAGCGTCTGTGGGGGCCGAGACGGCCGGCCGCTCAGAGCCCGTGGGCAGCGGTGATATTTCTGTAGCATTAACAAACTAGTGGCTAAGAATGCAGACGCAGTGTCCTCATAGAATAACTGTGCTCCTGCACTTTACAAATCTACGACAAAAAAAGATCAACTTTTTTTTTTCCAAACCAACCAAAAAAAAAAAAAAAAAGAATGATTACAATAGGAAAGGGAAAAATTAAATAGCTACATATCATTAACAAATTAATTGTTCTTCAAAAAATACCTACAAATTTCTCTGTACATTCTTTACGCACAGCGTAATGATGGTCTTAAAGTTACCTATATAAAAAAAGTGTTCTCAACAATTTCTCCTACAGAAAATAGGGGCCTGGATGCCAAAGCTTGGAAGCCCAGTAAATAGGGAGTGAAATGTATACGGGGCTTTGTAACAAAGACCTGCAGCCGCCCTCAACTGCACCCCAGGTCGCTCCTCTGGTCCTTCCATGTGGGGCTGATCTTCAAATGGTGTTCCCTCAGGAGCTGAAAACCAGGCTCGCGGGCGCTATGTCTACCCAGCACCACAGGTGGCCCACGCGTGGTGCTGGTCAGGTGACATATGTCAAGTCCTAGAGAGGCAGGGGGACAGGTGCTCACTGAACAGAAAGACAAGGAGCTGGGACATCCACAGCTGTGTCTGTCAGGTTTTCTTCTTCACCTAACTTGTAGTTAGTAGCTATTAACATAGCAAATGATAATAAATGCAGGAATAACTGTAAATCAGAGGAATGTATACTGCCTTGGCCCCAGCTAACAAGGAAGCGTACAAAATACCATATCACAGATTGTCAGCAATCTGCGGGTCAGCCAACAGTGTGGAGAGGGAGCGGTTTTTGCCTAGAGGAAGCTGGAAGACCTAAACTCCACCCCACCGCGAGATGCGTAACAAGCAAGACAGGGACGCACAAAGAAATGACCACGTCAGCCTGCAGCCAATCCTCCGGCATTCTCCATGGCAGCTGAGCAGTGGGACGGGCTCCCCTCCACGCCTGCCGCGGCCGGCTGTACCAGCGTTAGTGAGTGGAGTGTGTCCTAGAGTACCACCGTACCAGCAGTAAGGACACCCAGGACTGTAACTGACAACAATGAACTCCGTGTGGGAAGAAGCAGTTAAAGATTACAGCCTTTTTGCTTTGTTTACTGTTTATGCATTAATAGAAACCAGCTATTTTTCTCCATTAAAACATGCAATCTCTGTTTAAAGCACTCTGGGATCCTACCACCTCAGCGCTAGTCTAACTGCAGTGTATTCAGGTAAGGTAAAATGCCCGTGAGTGGGAGAGTCTGCGGTCCAGTTGCAAGCACCTGAAATCTAGAGAGAAAGACCTGAAACCTGTATGAGACTTCCCCTTCCAAAGCTGTTCTGTCTAAATTAAAAAACAAACAAAAAAACCCCACAAATGGTCAGAAATGTCATCCTTGAACCCTTTGTTTTCAGCAGTTTCCCCTCCGAGTAAGTACTAGCATCTCACTTAAAGCTGCCAGGCAGGCAACTTTAACCCTCCTCCAATAGTGCAAATCAGACACGACGGCTCTCTTCAAGTATACACGCACGCACGCACGCACGCACGCACACAGGCTGCACAGAAAACGTGATTGAAGCTACAGCAACAAAGCACCCCGGTCTTGAGAAGCAAATCAGCAAGCACAGAGCACTGGGTGGCCAGCGGGCGCCATGGCTGGGACTGGGAAGTGTGTGTGGAGTTGGAAGACCTGCATCAGAGGTTTCTTTGGTAACTGAGGCAGGAAGGAAGATGTTCCACACGCCGTTCCTGCTGTCGTGTGTGAGGGCACCTTGTACAAAGACCAAGCAAGTACAAAAACAGAACAGAACAAAAACCCCAACATGGTTTTTTTGCGACTAAACCATCCCTTCCCTGCCCCCCTCCCCCCTCCCCCCATGACAATTTCTGGTGTTTGAAGCACTGACTGTTCAAAGCTCAGGCACACCACCACACAGACCCTGTTCCTGTTCATGACACCACGGAGGGGGAGTGGCTGTGGTTGACCATGTGGGCGGAGGGGCTGGAGGGCTGGCCCCTCCTCGAAGCTGACTCTGGGCTGCTTGAGGCACCATCCTTGGCTGCTTTGATCTGAAGCCACGTGTCACCAAGGGCTTTGGCAAAGTGGTCATCCACGGAGCCCGTGATGGACACCGAGTTGGGTGCCGGCTCAGGTTCCTTGTAGTTCTTGCCCAGGCTCCGGCGGAAATGTTCCTCCACCACAGGGTCACAGGTGGTGGTCGCTGGAGAGAGCAAGAGAAAGGGTCTCAGCAGGGCCAATGCCATCGGAAGGTCCCCTGTGGGCCCACCACCTTAGCAGTGAGGCGGAGTGCTAAGTGGGGAGGACGTGGGCTGCCTCAGTTCCACTTCAGAGGCCCCATTGACATCCTACTGCAGAGCTGAGGGAAGGACTCTGGGAGACTGTAGCCTGAACTCCATGAACCTGAGACCCGTGTCCTGGTGGACACACACTGCCCAGAACAGCAAGGTTCTATACCCCAGATTACCACAGCCACCCCTGCTTCCCACCACCTGTGAGGGTACTTACTGCTGGGGGGTCTCCGGTAGCTGGCAGGCAAGGAGGCCACGCAGCCGCTGTGCGCGATAGGGCAGTGGGAGAGGTTGCAGTTGCGGTTGCTGGCGGATGCGCACGTGATCACAGAGGGCCGGTTCTGGAAGAGACAGGGAGCAGGGCCGGTGTGAGATGCTGGGCTGAGTGACTCCAAGTGAAGCTGTTCCTGGACTCAGACTCCAAGATGAGGCGAGTTGCTGAACAACCAACCAAATCCTGTGTGCGGAGACTCACCCTGATGTCCAGCCCACTCACATCTACCCTTCCTCTGGCACAGTCTTCTGACTCCAAGGACAAGCTCCAAAGGCCAGACTGTCCAGAGTCAGTTACTGGCTCTCAAACGAGAAACAAGGCAAACAACTGGGAGTTTGGAACCAAACTGTATAACTGCGGCAGCGGACCACAGAAAGGACCACGAGACTCTAGTTAGGGTCCCTGCAGCCAGCTGTCCCCAGTCCTCCCAGTTAGTCTGGCAGCATCCTTCCAACAGATGCTCTTTTTGTGTTGGCAAAACCAGCCCAAGTCGGTTTGCAAATCATGATCGAGACAGAGAAGTACGAAATACCTAAGTATACAAGAGGACTTAAAAGTTCACGGAAAAAGTCCGTTATCTTTTAATCCCATTTTTCCACAAACTTTTTGAAACCCCTTGTGTAAATCTAATAACCCTCTGCCCACTGGTCCCAGTGCTCTTTCATTTCTCCATAGCACCCACACTTGTCTGTCCTGTAGGGGAGGTGAGGCTGGTCCTCAGCACTCTCCTTGGAAGAACAAGTCGTGTTCTCCAAAGATATAAAGGCAACACGCCAACCTTTCCCACGAGGGAAACAGCAAGGAGGACAGACACCTGTTCTGGTCCCACAAGGATCATGATAGGCTGGCTGGGAGTAGGGGTCAAACAGATGACCTGCAATGAAACACAGGAGCTGCACTTGCATCCAACAAGAAATAGCACTCATCCAAGATGGCACACAGCATTAAGAAGTGTCATCATCCCTTAACGCGTACGTAAACAATGGGACCAGATCCTTATGATCCACAGGATTTTTAGTGGCTGGTTTTGGAGGATCACCAGGCCTTTCTTCCTAGTCCCTCAGTTTGGAAGCTCCACTGAAAACCATCCAGCAATAGGCAAACGAACCTACAGCCGCATGAGGGGCACTGGCCAGGTCGCCGGCAAGGACGCTGAAAGTTCTACCACTGAGCCAACACTAGCGTGAAAGACCTTGATGGTGTGCTCAAAAACATCTGAGGACTAGAGGAACTGGAGACAACGGTCCTCAGTCACCCTTCAGGTCTGGAAAGGAACTCTCTCCCTTGTGGCCGATTTTCAGCCAGGCAGTAGATAGGCATATAGGGGAGGACAAGACTAGCAAGGTATGCACACAATGCAATAGTCAATCACTCAAAATCAAAAGGGCAACATTTTCTTAAGGACATAGTTGAGAAGGGCTAGAAGGTAGTAGAAAATAAACAGGAAGCACAGGGAAGCAGCAGGATGACTGTTGTTGCAGGGAAGATATTGTAATCACTGAGATGAAACAAAGTGATTTGTTGAAGGTAAAGCTGATGATCTTGTCTGTGAACCCTCACTCAATTCACACTAAAAGTTAAACAACTAAGGAAAGCATGTGGGTGTGGGGTCAGGTGACCTGAGTAGAGGGCCCACACTGAGTAGAGGGTAGGCTCCCACTGTGTAGACTTGTTACAGCTCCTTACGAGGGTTGACGGAATACTGGGGAGCGGAGTCTGTCCCACCCACACAGTGGGGCTGAGGCAGTCGTGTTCCTAAAGGGACATGCTGAGCCTACTCGGTCAAGAGACTCAAGTTGCACACACCTTGGTGCTGCGGAGCCTCGGAGGCTGGGACCCGGCGCAGCAGGAGCCAAGGAAGGAAGGACAGTCCTGCCCTCTGCCCAGCGTGCCAAGCAGGCCGCCCTTCCTTCCGGAGCCTGCTGCGCCCAAGACCTGGCCCTGGTTTGTCCAAGCAAACTCCCTTCCTTTTGTGCTTGAGCACACTCCCATTGACTTCTGTTCCTTACAGTCCTGATGATGGAGAAATGCCCAATTCCACAGCCTGGGCTGAAGCAGCAATCTGTCAGTGCTGCCGGAGGGGACAAGGCCACCTCAGGAGAGGGGGCACCTGCATCACCCGGGACACCAGGCCATCTAGGATGGAAGGAGTGCTCTCACATAGGCTGCGGTTGAGAACTCTGGGGAACCCTCTCTCCTGCCACCCAGCCTGGGAGGGAAGATGCTCAAAACCCTTTCATCTTCTTAGCTGGGGCTCCCACAGTTGTCGTACCCCCCGCCTTCCCCACCACCACCTCACTCTCCCAGATATGTTCACCACCCCACCGGGCCTTTACAGGTAGAAAAGTGGAAGGTCCTGGGGTGATGTCGTGCAAATGGAGCAGGACCAGGCATAACCTCCTGCCTTGCCCACCCCTTTGGGGGCTCCACTCAGGCTGCCCTGGGTTAGATGGGCAATGCACACATACTTGAGACACACACCCTGGGTTTTCACACTGAATCTTGACTGTCTCCACACGGTCGCTGCTGTTCTCCAATTAGGACATCGTATACCCTCACAGCTGCCTTCACAAAAATATGGGGTGTGGAGGCACTTTCTGCAGCTCCCAGACATATTGCTGTGAAAATGCCTGTTACATGTAAAGAATGGCAAGTGCCGTGCGGCTGGAGCAGGGCAGCACAGACGGCCCATGCAGAACTCAGGGAACGCCTGTGCGCTGGAGTCTGTGGGGCCCCATTTAGAGCCACTTTCTGCTGACCACCATGACTATACAGCAGTGCTCAGAGATCTCTCATAAAACCCACCTGACCATGTCCCTCCCTGCTTAAAAACCACTAAGGGCCTCCTCTGCATGCAAAACAATTCCCCACAGAAGTCCAAACCAACCAGTTGTAGTTGGCAGCCCCGTGTGTGTCAAAGAGTAAAACTCCAAGTTTTCAGTGGCTGATCTTTCAGCAGTAGATCACCAGGTCTGTCTCGTGAGGCACCTCTGGGTGAGTTGAACTTTTGATCAGTAGCTGAGTGATTTGTACCACTACAAAGTAGGGTCCCAATTCCTTAGCTTAATGCACACTTGAGCACGGAACAGTGAGCATTTTATATTCCACTCAGCTGCTAGCATGAAACCCGTGTTGGGAGACTGACTAAATTGATACGGGAGCAGAAAGCCTCATCTCCATCCCCATGAGCGGCTGGTGGATTCAAACTGCTGACTTTGTGGTTAGCAGCCCAACGTGTCCCACTACATCACCAACACTGCTTTATAGAAGATGGAGTTGCCAGTCTCACCCCCGCACAGGATGAGGGTTTGTATGCTTACCAAGTGCCCCTCACCCAGTCCTGGTGCCATATCCCAGCCCTGAGGCCCTGTGTGTTGAGGGGTGGGTCAGTGACCACAAGGCTAAATCCTTATTCCTAGTGATAAAGGCCCCCAGCGCTTGGTCAGAATGTGTTTGCACATTCCAGGCCTTGCCTCGCCCATTCATGTGACAATATGCCTGTGTTATTAAGCGCTGTCAAGTCGATTCTGACCCATAGCAACCCTGTATAGGGTTTCCAAGGAGCAGCTGGTGAGCTTGAACCATCGACCTTGCAGTTCAAACGACTTTGCAGTCTTGACACATGAGCCCACAGCACCACACAAATATGCCTGTGGCACATCACAAAACAGGCCAACTGGCACCAAACCTTGGCTTAGTCTTCTCCATATCCCCTGAGCCTGTGGGCCCCTCGTGGACTAGAAGTGACCTCAGTCACACACAACCTGCCCGCTGGCCCTCACCTGGCCATGCTGTCTATTACAGAGACTTGAACATGGAGCCTTGGCTGTCTTCTCTCCTGCCTCCCTTCCAGACAACAACCAAACTCTGAGAACAAAGACCCCAACCTGCCCCGCCCCATCCGTGTCTAGTGACCCCTGGCACGGGACTGCAGGGGACTTGTTTGTGGTGAAACAGACAGTGACAGGTGCCTGTTCTGAGGTGGGATGTGAACCCGGGGCCAGAGCAGAGCAACTGGGGGGGCCAGAGCGGAGCAACTGGTTGGTAGCTTCTGGCTACCAACACGCCCCCGCCCCCAACATTTACCGACAATCTCCCAGGGCCATATTGGCTTCCTCTGTTCACAGGGCCAGTCTTAGCCCTCTTGTGACCCATGGGACATGCATCACCCACCACCACTTTCAGCCTCTTGGGTTACCTGGGAAGCAGCTGCTAACCTAGTTGTAGTGCATACTGCTACCACCAGGCAGGGACCTGTAAAACTGTGTGAATCTGAAGACTTGGGCCTTCCCCTACACATTCTACCACCAGAGTCTACTTGGGGCCTACATATCCCACACAATTGTGTCAAGATCCTATTACCTCAAAAAAACATTGTTTTATTTACTCCCAGATTTCAGCAAGCCTTCCATTACTGACAACACATGGAATCAAGAAAAACTTCAAAGCAGAGAAGAATCTGGTCATGAAAAGGTCAAGCAGACATTTACTGAGGGCCAGGCAAGTTGGTGGGGCAGTGGTAAAATTTTCACTGATACTAGGTCGGAGGTTCAAATCCCAAAGCCGCTCCTCAGAAACCCCCTAAAGGGTCACACAACAGTACGTGAGAGTCCTGGGTTGATTCCTAGGCAATGCACCTCACTCATCTCAGTGGAGGCTTGTGTGCCGCTATGATGGGAAAGGTCTCAGCAGAACTTCCAGACTGAAACGGAAGAAAGGTCTGGAGGTCTACTTCAAAACCAGCCAGTAGAAACACCATAGATTAGGACAGGCTGATCTGAAGTGGATCATGGGGTAACCGGGGCAGGCACGCTGTCACCCCACCATGTATGGGATCGCTGTGAGCCTGGGATCAGCCCAATGGCCCTTGTAGTAGTGGACAAAGCCCCAGAGCTCAGAGAGGGCAGTGTATTCCCCAGGAACCCAGTTTTTATTAAGCTCTCAGTGAATGTCCTTATTTTCCTTCATAGAAAAAAATCTGTGTCTGCCAATCACAGATCTATGAGCAGCAAAAGCTAATGTAACAGACTCAGCACTCCAACACAGAGCAAGGAGCCCGACACTTGTCAGTAGATACAGAATTCCCACTGTGATGATGTTAATTTAATTAAATTACAGAGCCACTGGACACTATTGCAAGACCACCTGAGGGCCCAAGACTTCCATGTTGCAAAGAAAGAATACGTCCAAAGACATGAAATAATCCTGTCTGAGGTCACTTCCTAAGGCAGACTAGGGAGGCAGGAAAACGTGGGGTGCACTCAGACCTGAGCACAACTCACCACCGGCCCTCACCGAATCACAACAGGCAAAGATGTACCTGCTGCCGCTCAGCCGAGACCAGTGTGGGTGAGACTCCGACCGCCCTGCTGACATCCATGCTGTTCTTGGTCAGGGCGAGAGGCTGCTCCAGGGTGAGGCTGGGGATGGACGTGTACAGGTGACCACCATGCAGACTCACGGCGGGGGCCACCGCACGCTCAATGGGGCTGCGGCTTCGTTCCCGATGGTCTTTCCGACAGTCACCATTGGGTGTCTTGTTCCTGAAAAAGAGGAATGAACATTCAGCGGGGAATGAACAGCTTCTGAACAAACTGAGGAGCTAGTGTCCCCGACGGTGCAAACGGTTAATGTGCTTGGCTGCAAACCAGAGAGTTGGCAGTTTGAGTCTACCCAGAGAAGAAAAGCCTGGTGCCCTACTTCTGAGAAAGCAGCCCCGAAACCCCTACAGAGCACACAGACGGGGTTCACCGTGAGTTGAAATCATCCTGGTTTTCTACATGAGGAGCAAGGATGGAAATTGGATCAATCTGACTCCAGATCCCAAAGACTTCTGCAGGGCCGGGGTGAATGCAGACCAAGAACTCTCCTCTGGACCTGGTTTTCCACCAGGCCAGATGGGCTTGTCGAAGATATTTCATTTAAAGAAGGTGATGACGGTGCTCTAAGACCCCCAGACATTCATTCATGCAGTCTTCTCAAATGCCATCATCACCCCGTTTTCCAGAACAGAAGACCAAGACATGGAGAAGCTAAGGAACCAGCCAGAGAGGCCCCTGTCCAATCTCCAGAGCATCGAGCACCTGGATGAGCGTGCTGGGAGCCAACAACGCTACATAGAGAAGCTCACCCACTAGCCTCGGGAAGGCCTGCCACTGCTGTGTTGGTACATGGTGGCTGCCAAGCCAAGTAGAGTAGTACAACACCGTCCGAGCCGCCCTCAGAGCAGGGTCATCACCGATAATGAGGTAAAGCAGGCTGGGCTTTAAAGCATTAACCTGAGAAGACACAGTCTGTAAAAGACAGGGGTCCGTCAGCCCCAGTCCCCTTCCATCCCTACTAGTTCCAGAGGCTACACCCAGCACCTCACACCTACAGTGTTCTCTGTTGCCAGTTTAAAATGGACTAGTGAGCTCATATTTCCATTTTTAAAAAATGGGGTAAATAATAAGTTCATGACTTTTCTTGATGAAATGCAAAGGACTCTAAGGGCCTGTATACACCTAGTTGCCCACTGGTCTCAAAGCTGGATGGTCAATTGTACTGGAAGACATGCTGGCGTGTACCCTTGCACACGGGGAAGGAAAGGCAGTGAGTGTCCCTGTGATTGGACAGCACAGTATGAAGTCGCACAAGTCAGCAACGCCCCCGCCGCCCGCCCACTTCCCTGCAGGTTCACATGCAGTTGCAAGAACCCATACAGAAGAATCCGGTGCACCCTTTAGTCGACTTCCCCCTGCTGATGACATCCTACAAATCACAATCAGGAGAGGATACTTCACAACCCACCACACTGTGCAGATTCTGTGTTCATTTCTGAGCAACCTGCTTATAAAAGCAGAACTGTGCACGTCAAACCCTCAATTCCAATCTTTCAGTAGGCCGGAGCAATCCTGCCCAACACTCCCCCAAAGTCCAAGCTGGTCTACTCTACTCTGTGTCACTGTAGAACTGAACTCCAGCGTTTTCAAAGGCCTCCCTTTCAAGATACCTCCAGATAGACTTGAACCTTCACCTGTGTTCAGCCGTCCGTGTTCAGCATTTCAGCACCTCTGCCACCACTGATGTGTTATCTGTGCACCCTCACCACCATGACCTTCCGTACAGGCACAGCCTCCTCCCACCTCAGTCCCGCAGCACCTGACAGGACAGCCGGGCTCCATGCACCGTGAAGGACACATGTCCCAAATGATAACCCACGGGGCTCCACAGAGCCCAGACTCCAGCCTTGGTTTCCGTCCCTACAGGAGGTTAAAACAGTAATCACCCCAGAGGGCTCTGAATGGAGCATCAACAGCAAACAAATAGAACCATCAGCGAATGTCAGCAGAACCCGAACCGGCTGAACTCAGTTTATGGATCACAGAGAATGAACTGCAGGGGCTGACTATACACAATGACTCAAAAGTAATGAGAGAATAAAACACATCAAGACGATCCTGCGAGAAAATGTGTTCCAAATACAAAACGTTCATTCCAAACAACTCCAGTCTCTCTCCCAGCACCACATGGCACATATCACCATCGCTCAACACAGCAAGACTCATGTGCAAGTAAGAACCCCGGTGCTCAGTGTAGAATAGAGGCTGCTCCACCAGACATTCACCCTAAAGACACCGTTTGTCAACGTGCACACTCACTCTGTCTCAGCACTGTGCCGCCTCCCCCTTCCTGCTCACCACAAGCATGAGGTTTCCAGGGACCACTTAACAAACTCTGCAAAACTGGATGCATGAGTGTAATCACCAGAACTGCTCTTAGTCAGGTTAGAGTCCAGTTCATTGAGCCTCTATGTTCTGACAGTTCCAGCACGTGAGGTGCAGTTGCTGCCCTCTCGGGCTAACAGCAGAGACAGAGCCAGGGGCTCACAAGGAGCTGATCTTGTAGGCAGTGTGATGGTTGTTGTTGGCTGCTCTCCAGTGGGCTCCAAGTCATGCCCAGTCCACGTGCACATGGGCATGAAACACACCATCTTCACAATAGTATGCTTAAGCCATTGTCGCAACCATCGAAGCACCTTCCAACCTTGTACAGAATAATACCATAGGGTCTGTGTTCGTGAACTTTTGGCTGTAGATTGCCGGACCTTTCTTCCTAGTCTTAGTCTAAGACATGGGTAACCCTGCCAGTAATTGAAATACCAGGAGAGCGGCTTTCAGTATCACCACAGCACGGTGGTCAAAGGGGTGAGGAGATATGAGCCAAGGGTGGAGATAGCCGAGAATGAAGAATCTTCCTGGTGGGTGAGAAGGCTAAGACTTGCCACGCCCAACAGGGACAGCAGTGCTGATCCCTCCACCTGACACCCAAGAGGCCTTCCCTTCATATCGCCAGACCTCAGCCACAGCGCTTGTTCTCCTGGGGAAGATGCAGCTTCAACCACTATACCGAGGACAGTGAAGCCCAAAGCTTCCCCAGCTTCCCCCAAACTAGCCGCCAGGCCCCTGAAGACCTACTCCGGGCACCAGGGAAAGGTGGCTTTGGGATAAGCTGGCTGGGTGGTGCAAGTTCACCTATAGGTGCCTCAGAATCCATCGATGAGAAATCAGCCACTGAAAAGCCCATGGCACATACTTCCGCCCTGGTACAACTCCCCTGCCCCTCGTGAATCACAGTTAACTTACAGCAACTCAGGTTTATTAATTTTTTTTTTAACTCAGAAAAACTGTAAACTGCGAGTTTATTGCAATGGCATTACGGGATCAAACCAAGACACCTAAAAAATACAACAAGAAAGGCTTGAAGAACTCGTGGGTTAATTTTAGCAAAATTATACATTACTCACATTTCCAGCTCATTTTCCTGGTTCCCAGAGCTTAAAGATAGACATTGTTTTCCCAGTTTCTCCGCAGTGAATCACAGCTGAGGTCCCGTCACTCATCATGTGCTTTCGGGGGCAGCAGACCTAACCACATACATCCTGCCTGCCCAGTAAAAGTCCACTCCACCCTCACTCTGTGGCACCCTCGTCCTGCAGGGGCCCCGTCAGCTGTGTGGGAGGGAAGAGGACAGGCCTTCCAGGGCTCTCCTCCACGACAAAGCTTCCTTAGGACTGACACGTATGTCCCAACCACAGCCTCTCTGAGTTGAGAACCAGCAGCACCACACACACACACACACACAAAACACACACAGCAAAACGGCAGCAATCAAATGCTCCAGTCAAGAGACAGAGCAGAACAGGTAAGAAAACAGGATCCTTCAATATGCTGTCTACAAAAGGTATTATCAAAAAGATGGAGACAGCCTAAATGCCTATCAACAGAAGAATGGTTAAGCAAACTATGGTACATGCACACAAGGGGATACTCTACTAGGCTGAAGAATAACGGTGAGTCTGTGAAAACACCTCACAACATGGGTGAACCTGGAGGACATTATGCTGAGTGAAATTAGTCCATCACAAACATTGTTATGAGACCACTGCTTTACAAAGTTAAGAAAAAGTTTTCTTCATAAAGTAAACATTCTATGATGGTTGCGGGGAAGGAATTATTCCCAGGCTAGAGGGTAGACTGCAGTCCCAGTGTAGCCGTACAGGATCAGCACTGTACTGTTAACCACCAAGGTCACGGTTCAAACCCACCAGCTGCTCCTTGGAAATCACTATGAATCAGAACCAACTCCATGGCAGTTAACAACAACAACAGAGGACATACACATGTTAACATGGGTGACAGGGCAGGCAACATACAACAAGAGGGAGGTTAGCAGAGGAAAGATGGAGGTAGCTGCAGACATGGAGGAGTGAGACAGTTAAAGTAAACAGAGGTAAATACTGTTAACTGGTGGTATATGGAGGGTATTAGCAGTTATTGCAATATAAAACTGATGATCTGTTCTAAATGAAAAGTTTTGTTTTGTTTTTAAAGGCAGTCTGGATTTCACATAGTGAAACTGTAAGAGAATCCATGATGAGAAAATCCAGTCCAGCATCCATTCAGGAGCTCCTTAAAACGACATATTCCCACCACTGAATAGCTAGGTGATCAGGGTTGAAAACTGTCCGTCTATCCAGGAGCTCAGAGTTGAACTTAACTGAATGTCATTAACAACTGATGGCTATGAATGAAAGGAATCTGAACCTAAACTCTAGGATGGGGTCAGGATACAGGCATAAGACTAGGCATTTTAGTGCAGCCTTCTGAAGACAGCCTGGCTCTGCTGCAGCGTTTGGACTAGCTGCGTGGAAGGTGCAGCCCCAGCAGCCTCCCAGCCCCACCCCAGGCTATCCTGCCCGAAGTGGAAGAAGGTCTGTGTGGCCTCATTCACCGGACAAAAGACACTCCTTCAAAGTGGGAGGTACAGGAGCAGTGGGGTGGCGGAGAGGGCCGGGAGGACCAGGGACTGCCTACCCCCCCCACCCCCAATCAGTGACGAAGAAAGTTCCCTTAAACAGGATGACGGACAATAACCCATCACACCACTTAACGTCAATGAGAATAAAGTTACTGAAGCATCTGCAGTTTAAAAGGCTTTCTCAGGCATTACTCACTGAATCCTCCGGTGTCGGGGGCAGACAGGGAGATGGCATTACTGATTT